CATGGACAACCTTACCCTTCCTAGTCTGTCTCTGCACTGTGGTCATATCACGTTCTAAACAATTACCCATCAGTCAAGTAAAGACTTATGTGAGCACAATAAATTTGTGCATAGGTGTAGATAAGGGAATTGAGGCAAAACTAATGACTGTCTCAAATGAAATCACAGGTGAATAGCAGAAGATCATGCTAGCACCAAACCATCAGCTGAATTTCTTGAATAAACCAGTGAAAAGCTTTGCATGAATTTGTACAGTCAAAGTACCACCTATAACACTGGGTATCTTTTGTCACTTTCAGCCTATTGATTTCTGCTCTCAAATGAATATTAGCTTAATTTCCTAAAGTTCCTTAATTTCTCAAGACTAAGGGGAAGGGTATTTTTAAGAAACAGATCATCTGTATGAGCTGATACTTGGCATGGTAGCCTTGGAGCTGTTGAGGGAAGCTGGTGAGGTTACAGGGTCAAGTATGTGGTTGGGACTTTTAACCCCACTTAAACTCACAAAAGAGACTCCTCACATGGAGAGATCTGTTATCAGAAGAAATTGGGAAGAATGTTGGGTAGACTGTATGGAGCAAAATGCGATGATTTATTACACAGACTAATTACAGTCATGATGCCTAGTTAAATGGGTTACATTTTCCCAGCAAAGTATAGTAGTGTCTCCTCCCTACCTGCAACTTCACCTTTACAATTGCAATTATTCATACTGATCTTTGGACAGAAAATATCAAAGTGAAAGCACAGAAATTTTTTAAAATCCATAAGTTTTAAATTGTGCACTATTCTGGGAGTTTCACAAAATCTTATGCCATCTCACATCACTCCATTCTGTCCTACTTGGAGTGAAAATCATCCTTTTGTCCATTGTATCCACACAATATTTGCTGCCTTTCCGTTAGTTACTTAGTACTCATCTTAGCTACCAGATAAAATGCGTGGTATGAACTATAGGATTACTGCACTGTACTACATATAAGATTCAGTACTACGTATAGGGTCTCAGGCATCCCCTGGGAGTCTTAGACCATATCTCTGTAGACAGAAGATGACAACTGAAGTGCAACAGAAATCTGTGGAGCCCCCTGTAGAATGGCTGTCTCTGGTTCTGCCTCCACGTGTTAGACTTTCACCAAAAAAGTGGCAGTGACTTCACACTTTACATTTGTAGTCCTGACGCTGTTATGGGGAAGGTGATGACTGCCAACAGCAAACAAATAAAACTGTCAAAATATGATTTTAATAGCTCTTAATGCTTTTACATAATGTGATGCTGGTTAACAAGAGCACATTAAAAAAGAAAATTTCACACTTTTCTTCCCAAATGTCATTTAAATCTCATTAACTAGATCTTTGTGAAATGATGACACTGGCATTATGATTTGGTTTTTTATTTACCTATATTTTAGCTACTGCAAGGGCCCTGGGGAAAATATGAGCATTTAGCTGATAAGTATTAGTAGGAACTTTGAGAGAACACAAGAAATCAGCTGAGATCTGGTTAAGATTTGAGAGACGGATGAATAGAAATCCAACTCAGGTTGATAGGCATAATCAAATTTGATGGTTATTAATTATGCCAAGTAGTTTCATTTGTTTTGTCCATGACAAGTAAAAAAGAAATTATTTGGCTCTTAAATTGAGATATCGAGTTGGGTAGCAGTCTTTTTCTACCTTCATGTAACTCATAATATATTACATGTTTTATATATTTATGTGCTACGGTGTTGGGTGCTTATATATTTATAATTATTACATCCTTTCAATGAATTGACTTTTTAATCATTGTATCCTATCTCCTTTTTTATAGTTTTTTACTTAATGTTCATCTGATGAAGAACAACTATACTTTTTCTTACTGAGTTTTCATTTGCATTGAGTATCTCTTTCTATCCTTCACTTAGGGTGAAATAAGCCTTCCAGTAAACAGCCTGCAATTGAACCTCGTGGGGGATGTCAAAGGACAGTGGATGTGGTGGACATTAGTTGAATGCAGAAAGCAGTGATCCAAGGAGCCATCTGCCATGTCTGGGGATTTGACTTCTTCTAGTTTATCATTCACTCATTGTAGTTTTTCTTGTGGATTGACTCTAAAAAGTCAACTAGAAGTGGAATATCCACCTATTTTAAAAAATATAAGAAAATCAGTTTATCCAAGTGACTGACATAGCTGGTATCTGGTTAAGATTTGATATTCATGTTTTGTATTAATAGTTTAATTCACAGGCTAGGGACTTAGCTCAGCTGCCTAAGTGCTTGCCTGGCAAGCGTAAGGTAATGAGTTCAATCCCCAGTACAAAAATAAAAGTTCAATTCACTATCCCTATTGCTCTTTTGGAAAAAAAAATAGTTTTCTGGCAAGCCTTTTAAATAAAATCTTTCCACCTGGCTTTTACCCCATCCCACTGTGTAACCCAAGTTCCTAATTCTACAAGGAGTTTTCCTAAAAGCTTCCCTGGCTGTCCATTTCTACCCCATTTGTCATCTGTCCCAGTCCCAGGGTCCCAGGTGTGTGTCAGCTCACTCTGGGATGTCTGCTTATTCAGAGGTTCACGTCCTCTTCTCTTCTGAGCTTTCCATGCTATAAAACCTCTATCTTCTACGTCTCCTTCCCTTACACTTCATGGCCTGCCTCTCTGTGATTCTGTTGCTTGGCATTTCATTTCGATAACAGTTACAGTGGGCAACAAAATGGAAAATGTCGTAGCACTGTTGAAACTCCAATAGAAAATATGCAATTCTGTACTTTCCTCTAAGACTTGCTGACTCATAATGAAGTTTAGTGCTTGTCTAGAAATCAGTTCCCCATTACCACCCACAGTATCATACAAGGAAAAAGCAGATTTAAAGATTGAAAACTTATACGACAGTTGGCCTCACCAGCTTTGTTACACAGTGCAGATAGAATGAGAATTTCCTATTTACTCTGAAATACTCCCATGGCTGTCAAAGGGGAAGGCTTCTTATAAGGGCTCTTGACTAAACAGAACCTAGGAGCTATTCATTAATTGCCTTTTGTACCTTCAGAAGGAAAAACCCACATGTGTCAAGGCAGTAGTAGGCTGTTCTGAACAGCCCTTGTGGATGTCACAAACTGTTCTCCTGAAAGAAACGTTCTTCAATGCTTTTATTTCCGGCTTATTGCCAAAGATATTTCTGAACCATGTGTATATGGCAGCAGTGAATATATTTTAATGTCTGAGATAGTGAAAATTTGAAAAACCCTCACATTAGAGACAAAACTCAAGGTTTAGATTATCAGTGCCTGGAGTAACAGAGGGTTGGAGATGCCAAACACTCTGTTTGGCATAAGAGTCACCAAATGTCTGGCTCCTTAAGTTTACTAACAACTTTCGATCTAGGGTCAGCCTCGTCAGTAAGACAGAGCTGTAACTTTTGCTCTTCCCTTTGGCCTCTTTTCCTAATATACAAAATGGCTCTGTCACACCAAACTACAGATACTGTACAGACACTGAGGTTTCTTTTTTTTTTTAATATCATTGTCTATCTTATACACTTAAATATACATGCAGTTATATCATTTAGAGCACTTTCTTTTCCTCTCTTTTGTATAATGACTATTACACTTTTTGGGTTTTATTACTCCCACAGTTCTTATTACTTTTTTGGAAGAAAGTAAAACCAAATGTGACATAATAGAACAGAGTCGGTCAAATCAAAAGGGTGGACATAATAGATAATGTAAAAACATAATACAAGGTGATCAACAATGGTTACCATAATGCCTCCCACTATCTCCAATAGAATTAATTGCCTATATCATCAGTTATAATAAAGTTGAACAAAACAGTAAAGAACGAGGTTTCAACAAGGACATATAATCTCAGGTGCTTGGCCAAAGTTAGCATAGAACATTTTTGCACAGTGGCCCCAAGAAGGACCTTACTGTCCATTGTTAGCTATGAAAGAAAACAAACATCAGAGTAAATGAAAATACAGTGACCTGACAAGGCCCCAAACCAGCACCAGAGGAAAGCCTTGGTAGAGACTGCTATGATCAGCTGTTTAATTTTGTTTGGAGAAGCTGGACTTCAGGCAGATGAACTTCTTTTCCCTTAGATTCTTGTTTATCTAACAGAATTGTGGTTGAGAAATGATCCAGAATTCACAAGGTCAAACAAGAACTTCTTCCCACACTGTGGACCCCACCCATCTCACTCCCGGCTTTCCTTGGCAGGTGGTCTGGTGGGTTGTGGGTGCACCCACCTCAAGTGTTCACCCGGAGGACATATCAATCTCTTGGGCTTGGCTTTCTTGGTTTCACAGCCTCAGGAAACTGAGAGCGCAGTTTCCTTTCCCATGCTGTACTCCGAGCTTGAAAAGATTCCAGTGTGCTCAATGAATGACCATCTCGTTAAAATGCAGTGGGAATCAAGGCCATCGGTGAAATTTAAAAAATACTAACATACTGCATTTTAATACCTTTCTTTCTTCATAAAAACATGGATTTTCATGGATTACCCAGATGTGATCTTCCCGTATCCTAAGAGGGAAAGAATACAGGACTGTTCGATAGTCTTCTCCTTATCTTTGAAACTTAAAATCTATTAAACAGAGGTTTTATAAAGAAATCTTCCCTCCTTCTCTCTAGCCCCCTGATTCTCTGGCATATAAACAGGACTTTTTTCCCTGCCCAAAATCTAACCCTTAGGCTTGAGGATTTAGCTCAGTGGATAAGCGCCTGCCTGGCAAGCCCGAGGTCATGAATTTGATCCCTGGTATCAAAAAAAAAACCAGCCCTTGCATTCTGTCACCTGTGGTCTTGTTGTTATCCCCTTATGCGAACATAATCTCAGTAGATGTGTAACAGGTTCCCTTGTATGTCTGTTTACATCTTCCTGGGTAGGCCAACTCAGGAAGACCTAACTGGAACAACTTTGCCTTGCGCACAAGCATCTTTTTGATTAAGGGAGCTGAGTGCAGAGCTCTGGATGTAAAACTCATGATTTTCCTCTTTATTTTTTTGTATTTTTCAGAAATTGAGGCCAAGGAAGCATGTGACTGGCTCCGTGCTGCTGGGTTCCCGCAATACGCACAGTTGTATGAGGGTACGTCACCTTTTCTGTGCTCTTTATGAAAACAATACTTTGAAAATAGACTACATTGTTTTCCATGTCTTTTCTCTATCCTTCGTTGATGCTTTCCCCCTCAGCCTATGCGGTGCCAAGGGCTGCTCCTGGTGCCACCTGGGCAATGAAGGATGCTTTCCAAGGCCCCTTGGCCTTCTGCTTTGCTGTCCAGATTCTCTTCCAGCTCCCCCAGGGTTTTTCTACTAGCAGCTTTCTCAGGCTTTCATCTGTAATTTTTCATTGTTTTTTTCTTTGCCGCTCTGTTTTCTTAAAACCAAATTGAAGTAGTTCATAAATTTCATAAAAATCTCAAAACTAATGCTTTACAAATTCTCTTATTTTTGTTCATTTTGTTAAAAAAAATGTTAAGGTACAATATGGGTGAGATGTGATTCTTCTACATTTTTGGTAAGGTACATCTTTGCTAGCATTATACTTTCTTTCACTGATTAATTATTTAATTGACAGTCTAAATGTGCTCAGTTGTATCTTAGTTACATCTAAAATTAGAACTAAAGATTTCAACTCCTGTGTACAAAGGTCATCCCTGTGCACAAAGAAATACAACAGTAGCAGAAAGCAGATGGCCCACGGATGGCAGATTATTGCTAACAGTGTCCGTGGCAAAGATGTAGACAGGAATAGGGATCTACCGGGAGCCCGGGTGCAGGAGCCCGGGGATTGTTAGGGCACAACTGTCACTAATACTGTCACAAAGGGATAGACAGAAAGGGATGGTGCTGGAGCCCAGGTTTAAGGTGCTATGGAGCGACCCTCCCTTGGAGGGAGCACACAGCTGACCATGGGCAGCCTCCCATAGGCAGAACTGACCCCAGGCCTTCCTTCCATCTCCAGCCAGGGGTTCTCAGGGATCAAATAAAAGGAAGCCAGATGACGCAGGTCTCCTTGGTCGACATCTAATCCCCAGATTATCTTCCCGATGGCATGACATTTGTGTAGTACAGAAAGATTATCAAAATTAGACTTAATGGTGACCTCTATTCTTTCATCCAGAAGCTGTTTTACATTAAAATTTTTTTCTACTTTTCTAAACATTTTCCCCTACTTCACTCACTTAAATTCTATGAGAATAAAGGAGAATTTATCTTTCTTTGGGTGTTGATCTTTGGAACTTCTGATAAAATTTTTCCTAGAATCATAGCCTTTTAGGCAAGGAGGAATTTTATACTTTAGATCTAAGCAATTCTCTCCACTCCCACTCTCCAACAGCAACTCACTGAGTAGGAAGGAGAAGGCTGGGGAGGTAACGTGAATTTGCCAAGGTGGAAGAATCAGAATAAAAGTCCCAGTCTCTTGTCTCTTGCCCACTAGCAAGTATATTTTCTTGGCTTTTAGTGAGTATGTCTGCCCTTGCTTTATAAACTCAAAACACTACTTGATTAAATGTGTAGAGTCCATAAATATCTAAGAGGTAAAGATAGCTTACAAGTCACATATGCCTGAAAGTTTGTGATCCAACCATATGAATTGAATAAATGTAGAAAGAGTAAGAACAGATACTGTATGCCAGATACTATTCAGGGCACCTACCCTGCCCGCTTCATAGTCACAGACCATCATACCATAGGTATAAGTGTCATTCCCATTGTACCAATGGGGGAAACAGAGGCCAAAAGAGATTAAGTGGTTTGCCCACTGTTCCAAAACTAATATATAATTGGCACTCAGAGGAGGAATACTTGTGCTTCAGAGTCTGTGTTCCTCAGAGCAACATGTACTCACTTGTCTAGAATGAGACCGTCTTTGTCCTGGAACCATCTTGGATTTGAGTCACTTTACTTTTTCAGCAGCAGAAGAATTGTTTCTGTTTCCAAAAATGTCCTCATATGTATCATGAATAACAAGGTATAGGCAGAACAAAATATAAAATAAGAAAGAGAAAAAAATGACAGGACAGGGCTGGGGATATAGCTCAGCTGCATTAAGTGCCTGCCTGGAAAGCATAAGGTACTGAGTTCAAGTCCCAGTACCAGAAGAGAGAAAGAAAGAAAGAAAGAAAGAAAGAAAGAAAGAAAGAAAGGAAGGAAGAAAGAAAGAAAAAGAAAGAAAGAAAGAGAAAGAAAGAGAGGAAAAGAAAAGAAAAAGACAGGACAAAGAAAATGATGAAGTGGAATTGTTAGATGTACTATAGCCTCTATGTTGATGAACTCAGATTTTTACTTACATAAATGAGGCACCTAAAATTGATACTGTGTTCTGAATATTGACTAGTGACTTCTCCAGCTGTCATGAACAGTTTGTTGGAGTAAAGTTGTTTTGGAATTTTTTCTTCTCTTTGGATAGAACCAGTTGAATGTTTTGCTAACACTTTGAAGTGACTCTAAGTTTTGTTATAAAAGAAAACACTAAGACCATTCAACTTTGGGTATTTTTGTAAATGCCCTTTGTGAAGGGAAATAACCTGCCAAACTATTCCATGAAATCATTGGGATAAAATTCAGTGACCTACACACTGGGTAGATGGTAAGGATGTAAAAACTCATTGAATCCAGCCTATGCCTATAGTAAGGATGAGCTATAAATACGCAAGCATTTAGTATTAAGTCCAAGGTCAAGTGCTTGATTATCTCATATTTCACTTTTATCTTGTATTCTCAAAAAGCATTTACTGTGATAAAAATAGAACTGTCTGCTATTTTAACACAACCAACAATGGTAATGAGCAAGTGACTTGTACAGACCTTGGTGGCCTGAATATGTTGGTATCGTTCAGATAAAATAATGTACACAAATCTGTCTCTCCCTTTGTCTTTCTCAGATTCACGATTTCCCATTAACATTGTGGCTGTCAAGAACGATCATGATTTTCTTGAAAAGGACCTTGTAGAACCTCTTTGCAGGTAAACTATGTGAAGTGTTTTTCTTTTCATTCGTCAGTCTCCAGTATGTACAGTAAATTGAGGGGCCGGCTTATCAATCCAGTAATTACTGATTGTGCATCACTAAGTGCCAGGCACAGGACCTATGATCTCTAAGTTTACTACACGGAGTGCGATCAGTTTGTGTTTTTGTGGAATTTAAATCCTAGTAGGGGGATTCAAGTTACAGATTTAAAGACAGAAAGAGGAAAGTATGGGTTAGAAGAAGAGCAAATGAGTGTGACTCTTTCCTAGTGTGTTATACGCTATTAAAAATTTGCAGCAGGATGAGATTGGAGAGCACAGATGAGTTCGTGAGAGGAGACAGCTGGGAAAGCCATAACGTGAGTGGTCAGGGAAAACACTCAAACTCCAATGGTTATGTCAAATTTGACTGTATTTTTTGCAAAGTCAAATGATTATCTCCTCTCACTGGAATGCATGAGGGCAAGTAATTGTGGCATAAACTTGCATATTTAAACCTTTGCTGCATAATAGACACTGTAAGGAGAAAAGATGTATATCTGAATAATTCCTTCCTCCTACACACTTTATCATCTAGTTAAAGAAAACTAGTTGAAGAAATAAGAAATGAAAAAATGAACAAATAAGTAACCATTATAATTGGGGTAAGAATAAAAGATTTGAGGAAATCTATATCTCTGAACAATTGAAGTCTGCCTGAGAGATGACATCTATCTGTAGGACAGTGAAATTTCATAACCAAAACACTGTTAGAAAATGATCTCTGAATATTCAAGAAAGCAATACTGTGAGCTGCTTAAATTTAAGACAATAATCCTGTGAAGAGCAAAAAACTCTTCAAATCATAAATTTGAATAGGAACAGGCTGGCTGAGCCAGAAGAGGAAACAAGCACAAAGTGTCATTTTTAAGAGTTTATGAGTTGAATGAATAGTTTGGCTGCGATTCTTTAAACACAATAAATTGGAAAAGCATTGTTTCCTCATCTCTATGTGAAAAGCATGTGTCAAGGAGAAGCAGATGCTTCCCAGGGCATTCATTCCATTCAGTACAGTTCAACCAGTACCCCATCCTGACCTTTCCCTGTTAACTAAGTATATTTTTGCTAGCTTGAATTTTTAAAAATAAGTACTTATACTATATGATATATTTATATAATATATAAAATATTTATTTAAAAATATTTAAAATGAATGTACTATATACTTATATAATTATATAAATTTATAATATTAATAATTTTTAATAGAATTATATAAATATGTAGTATATAATATGATTATATAAATATATAGTATAAATTATATACTATATAAATATAGTATAATAGAAATATAAATTCACTATTCTACATATTTATATAAAATATATATTCTAAATATACAAAGATATTTAAAAATAAATACTTATACTATTATTTCTATAAAATTATATAAGATGTAATAAATTATATAAACATATAGTATAAAGACATACTATATAACTATATAATATATATATATATATATATATATATATATATATATAATTCACTATTCTCAGCACACAGTTCTTGAGTTTTAGCAAAGGCCCATAGTCATGTGATCACCACCATAATGAAGAGGTAGCTGTTATCACTCCCAAAATTCCTTGATTCTCCTGTCATCAACTTCTACCCCTACTCCCAAATGCTGGCAACCATTGGTTTGTTTTTTGTATCTACAGTTTTGCCTTTTCCAGAATTTCATACAAATGAAAGGAAACAATATATAGAGACTTTTTATTCTGGCTTATTTAACTTGGTATGAAGCACTTCAGATGCATTCATGTAGTTCAGTATTCATTTCTTTTTATTTTTGAATAGTGCTCCGTACTATTGAACCAGTTTGCTTATCATTTCCTAGTTGATGCACATTTGGGTTATTACAGTTTTGGTAAACATTTGTATTGAAATTTTTATTAGTACATGTTTGCAGGACATAATGTTCATATTCATCATGGGGAACGTGTACATTCAAATTTTTGTGTAAGCATAGATTTTCATTTCTTTCAGATTAAAAGTTTTAGGGCTGGGCTTGTGGGAGGCCTGGGACAAATCTGTTATAACTTTGAAACCAGAAAAGCTTCCAGAGTGACCTTCTATTTTGTATTCCCACCAACAACACACAAGACTGCTAACTGTGCCCCACTTGATTAGTGTCACGCTTGTAGGAATCTACTGTTACCACACTGTGGTTTTAATTTGCATTTTCTTAATAACTAAAAATGTTGAACATATTTTCATGTGTTTATTTAATCTGCCTTCTTTTGTAAAACAATTGTGCAAATATTTTGCCCGTCTTTAATTATGTTTGCTGAGTTTTAGAGTTTTTGTTTGCTCTAGCTATGTCCTTTGTCAGACATGTGCCTTATAAATATTTTCTGCCAGTCAGTTCCTTGTCTTTTCAATATCTTAGCAGTGTTCATCACAGAATAAAAGCTTTTAATTTTGCTGAAATCTAGTTTATCTGTTTTTCTTGTGTTTAATGTTATATCAAAGAAATATTTGCATAAGATCACAACTATTTCATCCTATATTTTCCTGTAGATATTTAATAACTTTACACTCTGTATTTATGTACACCCCATTTCAAGTTCATTTTTATGTAAGGCACAAGATACAAGTCAAAATTTACTTTTCTGCACATGAGATTCCAATTGTTCCACCTCTGTGTTGAAAAACTATAATGTCTTCATTGAATTGCATTGATCATGTGTGTTTGAGTGTATTTCTAGACTCTCTGATCTGCTGTATTTATGCATTTTTCTATCCTTTTATCAGTAAGACACTGTTTGATTATTTAGCGTTAGTTAAGCCTTGGAATCTAATAGTGCAAGTCTTCCAATTTTGTCCTTCTGTGCCAGGATTGTTTTGGCTATTCTAGTTCCCCTGCCTTTTCATACAGTATTTAAAACAGTTTGCCAGTGATTCACTTGTTGTTAAAGTCCTACTGGAATTTTTACTTAGAATGTGTTTCAATCTATATATTAGTTTGAAGAGAAGTGATATCTTAACAAAATTTAATCTTTCATAAACAGAATGTGTCTCTACTTAGGTGCTTTTCATTTCAATACTGATTTGTAGTTTTTAGCATATGGACTGTACACAAACTTAATGGTAGCTAAGAATATCATATATGTTTTTATAAATAGTACTCTTTTATGATATAATTTTCCAAGTGTTTTCCTATAATACAATTTTTTGTATATTTTCATTGTACCCTGCAATCTTTCTAAATTCATGCTTTAGTTCTGTTAGTTTTGTTGTACTGTTTTCCTTGGGATTTTATTTTTAAAGTGTTGATGAAAGATTTACATATTAAACCAAGAATAAAAATTATATTATGTATTTTTAAATCAAGATTTTTTAAATGTTGTTTTTTAAACACTATCTCTTATGTGGTTCTGTGTTTGTGAATTAGTGGGACAAACTTTGGATCTCAAGTATGTGGTGGGTGGTAAATCCTTATCACTGCTGCGTGTGATATGAGATATCTTGAGTAAATTAAAGAGATTTTCTATAAAAATCTATGCTTAAAAAATTTCTCACACGTGGAAATGTTATAGAATGTTCTAGAAATGACCCATTCCTATTAATGTGACATTACATACAGATATAAAGTTATGAGTAATAATACTAGTTTCAGCCAGAAAAAGTCAAGAAGCCTTCTCTTGCACATGACCCATCAGAATACAGTAGTAGCAGAATCCATACATGTGTACCCCTAAAGGTGTCACGGCATCAGTGTAAAGGAGCCAGCAATTCTGTGCACCATAGCACTCTATGTAAGGACCTAGCTTTGTGTCACGGTGATTAGAATACTAGGAGGTTGTTGTAATTGAAAGAATTCTCAGGGCAGCTGTGTCTCCAAAAATATTATGAAGCAAGAAAAACATTTGGCTGGAGGTGCACAAACTAAGATTCTCAGGGCGTAGGAGCTGTGGGTAGAACAGAGGCCAAAGGAATAGTCAACCTCAGGGTGGATCAAAGGAAGAGGCGGAGTAGGCAGGCGGACAGAGGTGAGTAGGCTAAAAAGAAGCCTCATGGAGCTTCTTTTCCCTCCTGTGCCACCAGTACACGGATTTCCTGCTTAGAAATCATGGAAAGTGGACAGAAAGCAGCTCTTCAGCTGGAGAGAAATGACAATGATTTTAAAACTCTGAAATTGATGAGTGCTTTTTAATCAGCTCCTCACCCACCTAGATGGTAAGTCATGACTAATGCCAAGAGAGTGGCAAGGGGGTGCAATTTTATTTTTTTTCTTCTTTGTGCTCTGTATACCTACAGAGAGCTCTGGTCTCTTGTTTTATTTTTAAAGCTTTGTGCACTGTAAATTCTCGGCCATATTTGAAATGCTGAGATACTACAGAATCGTAATGAAAATCATAGCCAGAGGGCAGGTAGCATGTGTGGAGTAGACAAAAGACGTCAGAGCTAGAGGTTTCCTGCAAGGAGGAGCCTTGACAAGAATTTTACTTACCTTTGGTCTTCTGCGAATGTCTCTCCTGTGCAGACAAGCAGTTAATGCCGTAGGCCCAATTTACTGACAGGTGTTAAATAGTGTCATGTCTTTTGATTGGCTTGGAATTGTGTATATTTTGCAAAGGTTAGTGGCTGACCAGAAAAGCCCAGAACTGAACTCAAAATATGGATGTGTAGCCCTCTCTCTTTCTTTTTAAAAAAATATTTGGAGCTCTCATTTTTTTTTTTTTTTTTTTTTTTTTTTGTCCTAAGAAATGAGACAAGTTAGCTGGCTTTGAGGAAGGGGTGAACTTTTCTGTGATGATTGAATCTCACGGTGATTCCAGCAGGGCTGACAGAACCAGCACTTAGTAGGCACCGTGCAAATGCTTGGTGCTTCAAGTCAGAAAAATACAGTTATTTTAGCAACTGTGACTATTGTGATGTTGTTGATTGAATCCTTAATTGGGAAACAGTTTCTCCATGTAGGAAAGTTATCACAAAGCTAATTGTCTAGA